CTAGAGCTGACACTTTCTTGGCACCCTCTTTGAGAAGGCAGAGTCACCTCCATGCTTTGGTGAAGCATTGGAAGACGACCTTTGGGGGGAACCTGTTAATTACCACTATTGACAAATCAGAAAATTCTGCCTTTGTTGGGATCATTTTCATGAGCCTAATGGTTTGCTTATTTAATAGTCCTCAGGGGTTCCAGTTCTGCAAAAGGGTGACAGAGGAATGCTGGAATCTACTTGAACCAGGTAGGGATAACTGCTTGTTAAATATTTGGTATGAGCATTTACACCTCAGAGATTGTCAAACACCACAAATCAGGGCTTGATTTTTTGTTGTGTTTATTGTCTAGACTTTAAAAAGGGTTGGAGAAAATGTTAGTAATGCAGATTCAGCTTAAAAGTATGTACTGCCCTTTTGGAGCTCCTGTTGTTAAACATTTACCAGCACACACTAATAGGTGTATACCATATAACTATATAGTTTTAATAAAAAGGATATATATGTGTGTGTATATGTATATATATACATATATACATACACACATTTAAAGCTTGTTTTCTCATTTTATCCTCACAACCTTATGATGTCAGTGCTATTATCATAACTAGCTAGTATCACAGAAGGGCAAAGTGACTTTCCTAGTGTCACAACATAAATGTATATGGCAGGATTTGAACTCAGATTTTATAAACATCATTAGAATGAAAATTATTTTCTAGTCATTTGTGAATCTCTACACCTGTACTGGCTCAGTCCCTGCAACCATGACAAGACATTCAGCTTGTTTACTATTTTCTTTCTCTGATATCAGCTGACACGAAAGGGAGGTGCTTCATCCTAGCTGTATAGTGTAAGGTAGCCAAAGGTGCTTTTCTGACCCTGATCAGCAGCTGGCCCTCACCACCTGGTGCATACTTCAAACCCAGAGTAGTCTAGGTTTGTAGATTGTACAAGGACAATACCTTCTCTTCTGAGGACTTGCAGGTCACTTGCTCCTTTATTTTCCCCCTTCTCTAGAGTTTATAAGGTTAGACTAGATTGTAAACTCCCTGAGGGCAGAGACTGTTTGGTTTTTCAGTCTCCCTTTTGGCTTAGAACAATGTTTTGCACCCATACTTAGTGTTTGTGAATATAACCCTTTCCCTCTGTGTGTTTTCTTGGCTAAAACTCAGACTCTTCCAACAAATGATGACTGCCACAATCTCATCAATGACAAAGAGGTAGATATTTTCTGTAAGTAGGAAACCATGCCAAGATGGATAAGAAATGTCCTTCTCTCCTCTCCTGTATTTTCTCTACATCCATTTCCTCCACTTTCCCATTTCTTTCCTCCTTCCTATTGTCCTTTCAGGATCAGAGTAATGCTGAGCAGAATTGTGCGTCCAGTAGGAACAAAGTCTGACCAAGGACGGGACAATCATAACTGCATAGTTTGTGCAGGCTTTTCTACTAAAAGCCACTGCTGTGACTTGTGTATCATGCACAGGGCACTTGTGCCCTATACCTTCACATATATAAATGTGGCCTAATCTAAAACATCCTGATGCTCCAGCCTGTAATTCTGTCTGTCTCTCTTTCCCCACCCCCACATCCTGTGGCTCTCAAAATGTAATATGTGCTGACCTTATTCATCCTGTCGCCCTTGGCTGAACTGTTGGAATTTCTGAGATGGTTTAATAGTTTGTGAGAAAAGTTGGGCTGAGTGTTTAAAAATGTGATGTCCTGAAAAGTCTCTTGCCCTCTTCTGCACAAAAAAAAGCCACTTTATCAGGTTCATTGTATTAGCGGTTTCAGGGGTTTGGGGGCACAAGGATAACATTCCAGTGATGAAGGAAATCTGCAGATAAGGAGGGGAGACCTCCAAGATAAAGTGAAACATTGTTAAAGTAGTTCTAGGCATGCTACTTTTAGTCATCTAATTCAAATCCCCTTTTCCAGGCTATTCATCCATTGGCGCTTTCATTACATTTGGAAGACTGTCTGGCTAGACTGAGCAACCTATGAAGTAGATGGTTTTTTCATCCAGGATGTTATATGGGGTGGGCTAGGTGATTTCTGTGGCCACATTATGGATTTTATGATTCCTGTAGCGTTCTGCTTTCATCTAATTGTAGTTAGCTAGTAGTGTTACCCTGTTTTTTTAATTGGATATTCTTGATACCAAAAATACGTTTGGAATCAAGTAGAAAGAGGTTTGCTTTTAGTGTCTGAGGTTCTGAGTTTGAATTTCGTCTCTGCCACCTGGGAAACTTTGAGCATTTAATCTCTCTGGACATCAGTTTCCTCATTTTTAAAATGAGGGAATTGGCCTAGGTGAATCCATTTCAGTTTTAGATATCTAATCCTATAATCCAAAGGAATGAAGCTCTAATAGTGGAATATTAAACACTGAGACACTTCAGTGGGGATAATTTTCTGGACAATTGTCTTTCCTAATGTCCCTCAAATCACACGCTGTAAGCAGATATCTTCTTGATATAGCTTATCAATTTCTCAAGTTCCCTCTAGAGTAGCATATTCCATTCATCAACCAGTCAACCAACAAGTACTTATTAATCACCTATTATGTGCCAGACAATATCCATAAAGTAAGTTAATTGGTATTTACTGGTTTAGCATATTAAACTGCAGTTTAGGGGTTTGTTGGCTTATATTTAACCATCAATGAGTAGACAAGAATCCTTATGGGAAACTATCAGAACCAAATTGTTGATTGGGAGCTTCTACTACACCAACATATTTGCCTAGTGGCCATTGTCCACATATTAGAAAGTGGTAAAGTGTGTGGGGGATGTGTGGGGAAGGAAGAGGGAGAGATATTTTCTCTCTCTCTCAAACACACACACACACACACACTCTCTCTCTCTCTCTCTCACAATCCTAGAAGCTTTCCACTACTCTGATTCTGCAGTGTGGCCTTATCAGCATAGTTAGCGATGGGAACAAACCCTCTGTTGGTTCTCAACAGATAATTTTCATTAATAATGACATACGAAATGTTTTAATATTAAAACTGATTAGTTTTTGCTTTCTCTATTGGCTTGTTAAAAGAGGTAATAGGTATATTTGCTTTTAAATTTAAAATGACAGTTTTCAGGAAGAAAATGTTTTTTTTTCCCCCTGTCTTAGTTTGGGGGGAAAAAATCTCTCTATTAAACAGCCTTGAATTTGCCAAGTGATTAAAAGGGAGAACATTTTGAATGGTATGGTCAATTAGAGGATGCTGTAGGAAATGAAAGGAGAGGAAATACATCATGAAAATATAGCCTAGTACCCCAAATTTTCTATTTCTCTTCCATGAAAAGAAAAGAAATCTTAGAAATAAAACCACAGGCCACTGAACCAAGCATCCCTTGAACCTACTTCTCTTGGACAGTTAGCCTCACCACGGTCAGTATTAACCTCATGGGTCACTACATCTGGAAGTTGATCAAAATAAGTCAACATCTGTTTGCTATTTTGAATATGTAGTGAAAATATTGCCTAGTGTCAATTAAATACTTGGCAGCAACTTTTCTTCAAAAAGAAGGAAACATTGCTTAGGGTCCCCCTAACTGGAGGGTTTCTTCCCCTCATCCTTTAAAAAAAAATTCCATATATTACAACTGCCATTCCATTTAAAATATTGCACAAATCTAGAATCTTTCCCTTAGAATGAAACAGGGCCATGATTTGTACAGAATATTGCAGTCCAGGTCGGGGGTGGGGGTAGAGATAAAGAAACCTGAATAGTTTCTAATAACTCTTAACCATTCTTAACTTATAAGGTTATATTGTTAGAAGGTTATGCTGGCCATGAATGGTTTTAATTTCAATTCATGTGAAGGAGAAACACATATTTACCAGATGTTGTTCTACATGCCACGTTGCTTTTCAAACCTTGGGATAAATTATTGCTAAAACTTCAAAGCAGTCTGTTGCAATTAAATTTCAGGCTTTGTCACGGCATCATAATCATACTACTGCTAATAATAATATTAAAAGTGAAAAGAAAGAATGTATATATTGCTATGATCCCATCCTGCCTCTACACACTGTCCTCTGATTTCATTGGTCCAGGGAACCTCCTCTGCAGAAACTCCGTCTACAAATGCAGACTAGCAACGTGTCTGTAAGAGTTGAGAGTCTTAGAGACTTACCCAAGGCACTATGAGGTTAAGTGAGTTGCCCATGGCCATATCACTAGTACTCATGAGAGGGAGGACTTGAACTCAGGCCTTTTTAACTCCAGGGCCAACCTTCTATCCACTGTGCATATTGCCTCTAAGAAATGGTTGAGAGTTAAAGATTTTGCAATCTATTTCAAGCTGCATCATACTGAAGGCAAACAAACAAAGCCAAAAGATTCCTGGGTCTTGCTGAAAGTTAAGATTGTGTCTTTTTCCCCCTTTTTGAACCATCTGGCTCAAAGGTTTTGCAATGTCTCTCCGATGTTACTCTGCAAAATAACCCCTTGGAGAAGTCAAGTGATTTTGTAAAATTTATCCTGCAGCTCTTTCACGGTGTCTGGCACATGCTATAGGTATTGAATAAATGCTTGTTGACTTGGTTCCTTCACTTGAAGAGCATTAAGTAAAATAGGAGGGAGAGTCTGCCTGTACTCAATAGTCATAGACAAGGTTTCTGAGGCCCCCTCCCCTGAGGAGTATTTCCCTGTCAAATTAGACTTAAAGTAGATCCCTGATATCCAGCAAATGATTAAAGTTTAATGGCATTTTACAAACACCAAGATGAAAGTACCGGATGAGTCAGAGCTATTGGCTTATTTTAACATCTCTGCATGAGTGAAGCCCTGGCTTCCTACAGATGAAACTTGAAAATAATTAATGCATATTGCTAAACTCCTCTTTTTTTTTCCTCTCATCAGTGGGGCAATCAGCAGCAAAGGTCCAAAAGGGTCATTTGTTATGTTTTTCTAGCCGGTAGCAGTAGCAAGCAGGTAGCTTTGTCCTCCTTGCTCTGCCTTGTTGGCTTAATCCTCTTTGGGCGGATAGCATATTCTTACCTCTCAAACAGTTCACCCCTTCGTAAGGCCGGTAGCAATCGCACTCGTAACTAAGCCACAAGTTGACGCAGCGTCCCCTATTTTGACAAGGGTGGTTTTCACACCAATATTTTTTATTGCATCCTGCTTTGACGTTGAACGATGAGCCTGCTGATATGTTCTCAGGAGTAATGAGATTCGAGTCTATTTCAATGTCTTGGAGACAGCCTACAAATGAAGGTGCAGAATGCATATTATAGATGTTAAGCAGAGCAGCACCGTCATTCGTCTTCCCTACTGGCAAACCACCCAAAAACGTGTTTTGAAATGCAATCATCACTTGGTCACTATCAATTGGAGAAGGAGCTTTATTGACACATTTCTCTACACAGGAGTTGTCACGCAAAGTAAGGGTAACAGCTTCTGCTAAGGTTACCTCCACTGAATGCCATTCTCCATCACTGGTATTATGGGAAATGTGCAGCAACACCTTAGACTGATTATTGACTTGAACTGATAGGTGGACGTAGCCATTCCACAACTCAAGTTTTACATAACTGTCTTTATCGCCTCGAAGGAGTAGAAGAGCTGATGACTGTACAGTCTGAAAACTAAGGGCTATGTTAAAGAGAGAATCCTTGATTGGCCCTGGAGCACTAGTGATCCACAGGAAACTATTACCCTCAAAGGAAAGGGTAGTGATAACGTCACAGAGCAACCCAGAATAGCCAGGTGGACAGAGGCAGTTGTATTCATGTTGGCCATTTTGTATGTAAGGGATGCAGATTGCATTGTTCTGACATTTGTTTCGGGTACAGCCCAGAAAAATTTCACGGCAGTCCACTCCCCCATAAACTATCCCCTGAAAGTCTTGAGGTGGGCAATGGCAAGTGTAATTCCCAGGAAAGTTCTCGCATGTTGCACCATTTTTACAAGGGCTTGAGGAGCATTCATCAATGTCGTCTTCACAGCGGATTCCTGTTAAATGATAGAAAATATTTTGAATGAGCAGATTTTAGGTCAGAAATTCAGATTTCATTTAAGTATGAAGACATCAAAATGTTTATTTATATCAAGTTGATAAGCATTTATTAAGTTCCTACTGTGTGCCAAGCACTGTGCTAAACACTGGGGATACAAAGACCAGTCCCCACCCTTACTGAGCTTATAATCTAATGGGAATACAACATGCAAGCAACTATGTTCAGACAAGATAAATACAGGATAAATTGGAGATAATCTCAGAGGGAAGGCACTAACATAACAATGAAATTATTGTGCAGTGATTGTTTAGAATTGGTTTATCTTTAGACTTCATAATAGAATAACTGATTGCTTTAAAGAGAAATTGAGATAGAAATCAGTCACAGAATCAATCAACAACAATCAATAAGCACTTATTAAGTGCTGGACATTGTGCTAGGCTCTGGAAATACTAGGAAAGGCACAACAGTCCCTAGTCTCAAAAAGCTCACCCTCTAATGGGAGAGACAACAAATGTAAAGCAGTACACCCAAGATACAGAATAGATAACAGGTAATCTTACAGGGAATGGTAGTAGCAACTTAGATATGGGAAAGCCTTCCTGTGGAGGTGATACTTGAGCTGAGTCTTAAAGAAAGCCAGGGATTCTCAGAGTTAGAAGTCAGGATGGAGATCATTTCGGGCATAGGAAAGAGTGAATGCAATGGCATGGTGATGAGAGATGGACTGTTGCAGGTAATGCAATATGGCTGGGTTGCAGAGTTCATGAAGGATAAAAAAAAAGTGCAAAGGAAGGCAGCCAGGTTGTGAATCATAGAGTGTTGGAGGAACCTCAAAGGCCGTCTAATCCAACCCAATCCAAACTCAATCTCCTCAACACTGTTGATAAATGGTCCTTAGCCTTTGCTTGAAGACCTCTGATAAGGGAGAAGTAAGCCTTTGGGGACAGATTTGTTTTCTTTTTGTTGTTGTGTCCTTGGCACTTAAAACAGTGTATAGCACAAAGTAGGTGTTTAATAAATACTTGATAAAGTGAATTGATTATTTTCTGTTTTTTTTTAATTTATTTATTTTTAGTTTTCAACATTCACTTCTACAAGATTTTAAGTTCCAAATTTTCTCCCCATCTCACCCCTCTCCCCACCCCAAGATGGTATGCATCCTGAATATCCCTTTCCCTAATCTGCCCTCTCTTCTATCAATCACCACCCCCCCCTTAGCCCCTTCCCCTTCTATTTTCCTGTAGGGCGGGATAGATTTCTATACCCCATTGCCGGTATATCTTATTTCCTAGTTGCATGTGAAAACAATTTTTAACATTTGTTTTTAAAACTTTGGGTTCCAGGGGGCGGCTAGATGGCATAGTGGATCAAGCACTGGCCCTGAAGTCAGGAGGACCTGAGTTCAAATCCAGCCTCAGACCAAACACTTGACACTTACTAGCTGTGTGACCCTGGGCAAGTCACTTAACTCTAATTGCCTAAAAAAAACAAAAACAAAAACAAAGAAAAACTTTGGGCTCCAAATTTTCTCCCTTCCTCCCTCCCCACCTACCTTCATTGAGAAGGCAAGCAACTTGATACAGGTTATACATTGTAGTCATGCAAAACACTTCCACAGTAGTCATGTTGTGAAAAACTAACTGTATTTCCCTTCATCCTATCCTGCCACCCATTTATTCTATTCTCTCTTGTCCCTCCTCAGAAGTATTTGCTTCTGATTACCCCCTCCCCCATCTACCCTTCCTTCTATAATCCCACCTCTCTTATCCCCTTCCCCCCTATTTTCCTGTAGGGTAAGATAGATTTCCATACCCATTTGAGTGTGTATGTTATTTCCTCCTTAAGCCAAATCCGATGAGAATAAGATTCACTCATTCCCTTTCACCTTCCCTCACTTCTCCTTCAATGTAAAAGCTTTTTCCTGTCTGTTTTATTGAGATAATTTACCCTATTCTACCTCTCCCTTTCTCCTTCTCCCAGTATAATCCTCTCTCACCCCTTAATTTTATTTTTTAGATATCACCCCTTCATCTTCAACTCACTCTGTGCCCTCTATTTATTGATCTATCAATCAATCTATCTACCTATCTATCTACATATATTTTTTCCCCTCCAACTACCCTAATACTGACCAAGGTCTCATAATAAATTGATTGTTTTCTGAAGCTGGTAATTCTGCACTGTTATTATGTTTTTCCTTATATTAAGCCAAAATGTGCTTCTCTGCAGCTTGCACACATTGTCCCTAGTTCTGCCTTCTGGGGTCAAACAGAAGAATAACTCTAAAGATATTCATTCATCCATGAAACATTTATTAATATTTATTACATTTAATGTACTGTGATAGGTCCTAGAGGAGCTACAAGGATTAATAAGATATGGACTCTGCATGCCAGAAGTTTTTTACTGGCATCTATTTATTTTCTATGGTATTTCAGGGGCTTAGACTTACTGATCTGGAATCACACCACATTGACATTTATATCCACCAAGTTTGATACCACAGGGATTAGCCTATAATGCCAGATGAAGAATAGTACTTCAGATATGGAGAGCAGGAAGAATTGATCAGTGATTTTTCCTGACTGTGCACCATTTGTATTTCTGCCACAGTCCCAGTGATTGGTACTTGTATATCCAAGTTCTATGCCACAAATTATGCTCAAGAGAAGAGCTCTGATGATGGATTTGAGAGAGAAGTAGCCCAGAGTGCACCTATAAAGAGGTACAGTTTCAGGCTGCCCAGTAGAGACCTTCTAACTGCTGGAAGGGGACAGGGATCATTGTAGGAAATCATAAAAAGTGAAAAGATATCAGGGCCCAGAAGTATGGAAGACATGAGTTGATGATCTCCTAACTGTAAAAAAAAAAATAAAAAATGCAAAGGAACACCTTTCTACACTCTAGATTGTCTAAGAAAAATGAAGTGCCCCTAGAGGAAACAGAAACAAGGCTTCAATGGGAAAAATGAGGGGAATCGGAGGCGGAAAAGGAAAATCGCTTGGTCCAGGTGAACTTTATCCTTGGCTACAGCTGTTGAACCCCTATCATGAATATTTCAAAATCTTGGGAAATAAAAGAAGGAACTCAAGAAAGGGAGAAAAAGGCAAATGTTCCTGTTTTAAAAAATAGGGGTGATGGGGTGGTGGTAAGAACAGCATCTTCAACCTATAGACCAGTGAGCTTGGCCTCAATTTCAGGGTTATAGTAGATGTCCCTCTAGGATCATAGCGATGGGGAAGCCTGGGCAGTCATGGCCTGGTCATAAGGAGATAGGTCTTAAGAGCTTGGGGGCATGAAAACAGGGAAGAAATATTTTCTGTAGGAGGAAGGTGAGAAGCTACTGAAAACCAAGTTCACTATTTTCCCTAGTGCCAGTTCTGATTTAGCAAGACCAAGTTGTGCTCTTTGAGTAAATAATCACAAATTTTGGGGAGGTGGTATGAGAAAAGGGGACAGAATATTGAATTTGGCAACAGGATAATCTATGTTTGCATTCTTTTTCTCACTTCTTCTTGCTATGTGACCGTGGGCAAGTCATTTAACTACTCAGCCTCAGTATCTTCATATGTAAAATGTTGATAATTATGCCTTTAGTACTTTTCTCTTAGGCTAGAGACAATGTCTGTAAAATTGTCTTCCAGTTTTAAAGTGTTTATGTCTCAGTTATTATTATTCTTCCCCAGTTGCAACACTCAGTTCCTTTTGATAGATTAAATGGCTTGAAACAGCTAGTTGTGGGAAAGATTCTCATTTGTTCTTTTAATTGAACAGTCATTGGCCACTCCAGATACCAAGCAAAAAGATGATGTCTACCCAGGAAACCATTTGAGTTTAATTTTTAAAAATCAGCAGGGAGAAATGCCCAAACAAAAGTCCTTTTACCATGGATGTTTATGAGTCTTATGTTTGAAGTTCAAATGAACAAATACAATTATCAACCACAATAATAGTTCTTCATTTCTTCAATAAAACAAGTGATTGATGAATATTTTATGTATATTTTGGTTCTGTGACTATACCTCCTGGCATAATGAAGCTCAATCTAACTCTGGATCAGCAAGTAGATGAGTAATTTTTACTTATAATAGATTTGAGTTAGAAGTATAACCTGCTGGGACTAGAATGTAAATAAATAAGTGTTATAATAGCCAACCCTATTTGGCTTCTTCATCAGGATCGTTCACAGTGCCCGTCCAGAAGAGAATTCTTCAATCAGTGGCAGAGGAACCACTTGGATTTTTTTTAGGTGGAACAAAGAAAACGTGACAATCCTTCCGAAGCAATTCAAGTCACACCCCACAAGTTGTATTCAAGAGAATAAAGCTGATTATGGATTCAAGAAAGAACTAGTCCTTGCTAGCAAAAGTTAAGTTATATAGAGGAGTCAGCTCAGAAAGTCCAACTGAGTGACTACCACAACAGAGATATTATACCCAGTGGCGATAGTGTGAGGACACAAAAGAAAGGAAAAGACATCAGGGCCCAGAAGTATGGGAGAAGTGTTGCTTTGGTTACACATATTCCTGATGTGGGTACCTTACAACCTGAATACTTTATAAGTTTGTGCTATTTCTTACTATGGATGCTGTGGAATGAATGAAAAGGCATTTATTGCAGGCTTACTGTGTGCTAAGCACTGCATATACAAATACAAAAGCAAAAGTATTCCTCTGCCTACAAGAAACTTACATTCTAAAAGGGAGAGACAAATCACATAGGTGAGGGAGCAGAAGCCAGGGAATAGCACTTTGGTCTGGAAAGTTAAGGCAATGATGAGTTTGGCCATAGTGAGGTGGATTAACACAACTCATCTAGGAACAAAGGAAGAGATAAGTATGGTTTCAGGACTAGAAAATAGGGTGAGAAGAGAGGAACTATTATACCTGTGGAGGGCAAGACATTGGGGAAGCTGTCAAGGCATAATTATCAACATTTTACATATGACGATATTGAGGCTGAGTAGTTAAACAACTTGCCCACTGTCAAAAT